ATTTTTATAGAATTTTTAGTTCTTTTTATATGGTGCATTTCGTATCCTTTAAATGGTTTAAGGAGTTGTGCAGTTTTTTCCAGGTATTTTGTCATAACTGTTTCCTGAGCATTGAAATCTCCTTTTACTTGGTTTACTACTAATTTTGAATCGCTAAATATTTTTATGTATTCTGCATTCACAGCTTTTGCTAATCAAAGTCCTCCTAGCAAAGTCTCGTACTCAGCTCTATTGTTGGATGCCTCGAATGTAAATTTTAATGCGTATTCAAAGGTTTCTCCTTCTGGTGATGTCAGTATGATTCCTGTGCCACTCCCATTTTCACTTAATGATCCATCAACATGGAGGGTCCAGCAAAAGTCTGGTGGTATTACCCTTGCTTGCTCTCCTTCTATTTTTGACGATTGCCGTTTTGCTGGGGGTGCTAGCAAAGGTGTGTTAATCGCAACTTTTTCTTCCTTACTCAGTTCTACTATGAAATCTGCCAAAATCTAAGCTTTTGTAGCCTTTCATGGTTGGAATTCCACATCAAATTCTGTAAGCTCAATGCTCCACTTTACCAACCTTCCTGCTAAATCCGGTTTGTGCAATACATGCCTCAATGGGTAATTGGTGAGGATTATAATTTTGTGTCCCAAAAAGTAATATTTGACTCTCCTAACTGCTATGATTACTGCATATGCTAGTTTTTCTAAGGGTGCGTACCCTTTTTCTAGTTCTTGCAGTACTTTGCTTACGAAGTACATAGGTTTTGCCTTTTTTGTTCTTGCCTGATTAAAGCTGCGCTAATTGCTTCTGTTGTTGCCGCTATGTATAGGAATAATGTCTCTCCAAGGCTAGGCTTGCTGATCAAAGGTGGTGATGCAAGGTATGTTTTTAACTGTTCAAAAGCTTTCTAGCAATCTTGTGTCCATTCAAAGTTTTTCTTTCCTAGCAGGATTTTAAAGATGGGTAAGCACCTTTCTGTAGATTTTGATAGAAATCTTCCCAATGCCACAATTTTTCCCATAAGGTGCTGTACTTCTTTTATTGAAGCTGGGGGTTTCATTTCTATTATTGCACGCACCTTTTTTGGGTTTGCTTCAATACCTCTATTGGTCAGCATGAAGCCTAAAAATTTCCAGCCCTTACTCCGAACGTACATTTCAGAGGGTTTAATTTCATGCCATATTCCTGCAGTATGCTAAAAACTTGCTCTAAGTCTTCAAGATGTTGATCTAGACTTCTGCTTTTTATTATTAGGTCATCGACATATACTTCTACTCACTTTCCTTTCAATAAAACAAAGATTTTGTTTGCAAAACGCTGGTATGTTGCACCTGCGTTTTTTAGGCCAAATGGCATCACTGTGTAGTAGTATGTTGCTCCTGCCATGATGAAAACTGTTTTGTCTTGATCCTCTTCTACCATTGGGATTTGGTTGTATCCAAAATACGCGTCACAAAAGCTGAGTAGTTCATATCCGGAGGAATTGTCTACTAACTCAACTATGCTGGGGAGTGCATAGTTGACCTTGGGGCATACCTTATTAAGGTCAGTGAAATCAATACACATGCGCCATTTTCCATTTGCCTTTTTTACCATGACAACGTTGGATAACCACTCACAGAAGTTTATTTCTTTTATAAATCCTGCTTCTTTTAATTTCTCTACTTCTTCCTTTATAGTTGCGGTTCTTTCGCTCCAAATTGTCTCATCTTTTGTCTGACCGGCACAGCTTCCGAGGGCACCCCGAGCCTATGGCATGCAATTTTAGAGTCTATTCTAGGCATGTCAGCTGCACTTCCTGCAAATATACCTTCATGACTTTTTAAGCATTCTTCTAATTTTGCGGTAAATTCTGGGTCCATATCTACTCCTACATTCGTTGTTTTGTTTGGATTTTTTGAGGTGAGTACCACAAATTTGGTGCGATCGATGGGCTTTACTCGTTGTTCCTTTATACCTTCTCATGCATCCATTGTATCTACAGTCAACGCTCTTCTTCTCACGATGTCACCTGTTGCAATTAAATCCCAAGTTCGACTTAGGCCGTAGCTTCTAGGCTTCTGGTTGTTCAGAGACTTGTGCTGTGACAGTTTCTTGAATTTCTACGGGTCTTCCTCGTGCTACTCCAATACCTTTTGGCGTAGGAAATTTGATCATCATATGGCTTGTAGAGATTACTGCTTGTAATGCATTCAATCCTGGTCTTCCTAAGATTACGTTAAAAGAGCATGGTATGTCTATGACAAAGAAGTCCAGAGTTACCACAACTTTTTGAGAGGTATCGCCAACATGGATAGGTATTGTAATGATTCTTACTATTGACACATCTTTTCCAGACAACCCTACTAACGGGAATTTGCAGGGTCTCATAAGTTGTGCTGAGAATCCCAACTTCTTGAAAACTTCATGTGTAAGTATATCTCTGCAACTTCCTGTGTCTACTAATACTCTCTTTAATATTTTTCCTTGCCGGAGGTT